TGTCCCCTGCTAATGCAGGGGACACGGGTTTGAGCCCTGGTCTGGGAGGATCCCACATGCTGCGGAGCAACTAGGACCGTGAGCCACAACTACTGAGCCTGCACATCTGGAGCTTGTGCTCCGCAACAAGAGAGGCCGCGATAGTGAGAGGCCCGCGCACTGCAATGAAGAGTGGACCCCGCTTGCCACAACTAGAGAAAGCCCTCGCATAGAAACGAAGACCCAACACAGCAAAAATAAATTAATTAATTAATAAACTCCTACCCCCAACATCTAAAAAAAAAAAAAAAAGATTAAAAAAAAAGTGTGGTACTAGTGAAAGGTTAGGCATACAGATCAATGGAAAAAAATTAAGAGACAGAAAATAAATCACATTTACAGTCAACTGATTTTCAACAAGGTGCCAACGCAATTCATTGGGGAAAAAATAGTCTTTTCAAATGGTGCTAGGACAAGTGGATATCTACATGTAAAATAATCTAGTTGGAACTTACCTCACACCATATGCAAAAAGCAACTGAAAGAGAATCAAAGATTAATTGCAGGAACTAAAACTATAAGAAGAAAAAATAGTGATAAGGCTTTGTAACCTTGAGTTAAGCAATTCTGTCTAGATATGACCCCAAAGCACAAGAAACGAAAGAAAAAATATAAAAATTGGACATAATTAAAATTTAAAATGTGTGTGAATCAAAGAACATCATCAAGAAAGTGAAAAGAAGTGAATGGGGGAAAATATTTGCAAAACACATATCTAGTAAGGGATTTATATCTACCATATAAAAAAGGACACTTACAACTCAATAATAAGACAAACAATCCAATTTAAAAATGAGCAAAGATGGGGATATATGTTTATGTATAGCTGATTCACTTTGTTATAAAGCAGAAACTAACACACCACTGTAAAGCAATTGTACTCCAATAAAGATTTTTTAAAAAATAAAATAAAAATGAGCAAAGGATATGAATAGACATTTCTCCAAATACATAAAAATGACCAATAAGCACATGAAAAGATGTTTAACATCATTAGAGCCACCAGGGAAATGTAAAACAAAATCACAATGAGATACCACTTCACACCTACTACGATGATGAAAATCAAAAGACAGATATTAAGTGGTGGCGAAATGTGGAGAAATTAGAACCCTCATACATTAGTAGTGGGAATATGGAATAGTGCAGCTGCTGTGGAAAACAGTTTGGTGGTTTCTTAAAAACTTTAACATATTATCCAGCAATTCCACTCCTAGGCACTAAATACCCCCAAAAAAATTGAAAACAGAGACTCAAACAGATACTTGTCACAAATATTCATAGCAGCATTTTTCAAAATGGCCAAAAGGTCCAAATGTCCATCAACAGAAGGGATAAAGAAAATGTGATGTATACAATATTATTATTCAGATATATTATTCAGACATAAAAAGAAACAAAGTTCTGATACATGATACAACATGAATGAACTTTGAAAATATTATGCTACATGAAAGAAGCCAGATACAAAAGGACAAATATGATTTCACTTAAATTAAATATCTAGAATAGGTAAATTCAAAGACAGAGAAAATAGGTTAGAAATTACCAAAAGAACTCAATGGGGAAAGGATAATCTCTTCAATAAATGGTGCTGGGAAAACTGAATAACCACATGCAGAAGAATGAAATTGGACCCCTATCTTATACCACTCACAAAAATTAATTTGAAATCGATTAAGGACTTAAACAGAAGAAGTGAAACCGTAAAACTAGAAGAAAGCAAATGGTAATTATGTGATGTGAAGGAGGTGTTAGCTAAGGCTATGGAGATCATTTTGCAATATATAAGTGTATCAAACTGTACACCTTAAACTTACACAATGTTATATATGTCACTTATATATGTCTCAATAAAGCTAGGGGGGAAAAGAAATTACCAGAGGAAAAAATTTTGGAAATAGATAATGGTGATGGTTGCACAACTTTGTGAAAGTACTAATGCCAATGGACTGCATACTTAATGGTTAAAATGGCAAAATTTTATGTTATATATATTTTATCACAATGAAAAGAAGTAAACATTAAAAAATACTAAGGAATAAAGTTTTTAAAGTGCAAGACTTGTACCCTGAAAACTACAAAACACTGTTGAAAGAAATTAAAGAAGACCTAAATAAATGAAAGCTACCCCATGTTCACAGATTGGAAGACTTAATACAGTTAAGACGGGAATATTACCCATATTGATCTACAGATTTAATTCCAGCTGCCTTCTTTGCAGGAAGTGACAAGCTTATCTTAAAATTCCTATGGAAAAGTAAAGAACCATAGTAGTCAAAATAATCTTGAAAAAGAACAAATCAGGACTCACTCTGGATTTCAAAATTTACTACAAAGCTACAGTAATCAAGATTTTGTGGTACTGGCATAAGGACAGACACATAGATCCATGGAACAGAACTGAAAATCCAGAATTAAACCCCACATTTATGGTCAAATGATCTTTAATGAGGGTGTCAAGACCATTCAAGGGGGAAAGAGTAGTCTCTTCAAGAAATAGTGCTCGGGGGGCTTCCCTGGTGGCGCAATGGTTAAGAATCCACCTGCCAATACAGGGGACACGGGTTCGAACCCTAGCCCGGGAAGATCCCATATGCCGCGGAGCAGCTAAGCCTGTGCACCACAACTACTGAGCCTGCACTCTACAGCCTGCGAGCCACAACTACTGAGCCCGCACTCTAGAGCCCACGTGCTACAACTACTGAAGCCCTCATGCCTAGAGCCTATGCTCCACAACAAGAGAAGCCACGGTGATGAGAAGCCCATGCACCACAACGAAGAGTAGCCACCACTCACCACAATTAGAGAAAGCCCACGTGCAGCAACAAAGATCCAACACAGCCAAAAATAAATAAATTTATAAAAAAGAAAAAAGAAAGAAATAGTGCTCGGACAATAGTGCTGTACATTCCCATGCCAAAGGATGAATTTGGACAATACCTCATATCATGTACAAAAATCAACTCAAAAGCGATAAGAGCTACAACTGTAAATTATTTAGAAGAAAAGATAGGTGTGAATCAATAACAAATAATAACAATAAAATATTATAGCTTCTCTTTATTGAGCAATTACTTTATGCTGGTCTCCCTAACAAGCTCTTTGTGTATGTAATCTTAAGTTTAAAGGAGATACACCCAACTTCACCCTAACTCACCATTTCTGTGTCCCACTCACCATACATCAGCCCTAAGCCTAGCTTAAATATATAGCTTAAATGAGTAAAAATTAGCTTCAAATGCTTACTTCTAAATTTAAAGTTGTATGTATGAATATTGCTATATTATTTCTCCATTTTTTACTGTTTTTTTCAAGTCATGAAAGTTGCACGTGACATAAAAGGGAAGGGTGAGTGACAAGATACAAAATGGTACATTAGCCATTCATTTCTTTACATTATTATTTTCTATTCCATTAATGTCAAGTTCTTTTTTTTTTTTTTTGTAATGAAGAGGTCATTTTAATTCAAAACAGAGGAAAAATGCTACTTAAGACATACCGAGAGCAAAGCCTTACTGTTGGAACCAGGTGTCAGAGAGGATGAGTATATTTAAACAGCAAGGTTGGCTATTTTGAGATAAAAATAAGTAACAGGGAGTCAACAAATAACCTTCCCCATTCTGAAACTGTAAAACTGATTCTCTGACACTGCTGCACCACCAGCAGGAGTTAAGTGGTGAAGTTTCTGTGATTAGATGACAAATGTTTGCAAGCTTGCATGAATCAGCGTTTTTCTAGGGAAAAGATCCACAACCCTCTTCAGATGGACAACACATGGGAGACGCCCAATTAATGTTTGCTGAAAGTATAAATGAAGGGGCTCTACAGCAAGTAAGAGCCCGTGCACAACCCAAAACTGCTTCCTTGGTCCCATCTTTCATTACCTTCAAACTCCAGAATCATTCCAGGAGTGTCTTGAGCTGTCTGTTGCAACAACTTTCTAAAACTGTTTTTCTGAACAAAATATTACAAAGGGTCTTACCGAGATTAGAGAATCCATCCTGAAGGGCCCATAATCGAGCCCAAGGGGCAGGGACAGGATCCTCGGGTTCTTGGTCCTCGGGAATAGAATAGAGTTCCTGCGTGGACACTGTGTCTAAGGAGCTCAGCGTACCCGAGCTGGAGTGAGAGGACTGGCTGGACGTGGGCACTGTGCTGGTGGAGGAGCTGGACGTGCCCTGGGACTGTGAAGATGAGCCGTGTGGCTGTGAGGAGGGACCGTGGGACTGCGAGAAGCCACCTTGGGACTGCGGGGAGGCACTGCCATGGGGCTGATGACACTCCACATCCGTCTCCCGAGACATCACCACCTCAAAAATAAGTGTCCAACAGTAAGGTGAATTTCAAGGAACAAGACATCGTAAAGGTCAAGAGTAAAGGATGGGTATATTACAACAGCCAAAAAAAAAAAAGATCCAGGATACGCATGCTCTGCAAAAATTAAAATTCTAGGGCTTCCCTGGTGGCGCAGTGGTTGGGAGTCCACCTGCCGATGCAGGGGACACGGGTTCGTGCCCTGGTCCGGGAGGATCCCACATGCCGCGAAGCAGCTGGGCCCGTGAGCCATGGCCGCTGAGCCTGCGCGTCCGGAGCCTGTGCTCCGCGGCGGGAGAGGCCACAGCAGTGAGAGGCCCACGTACCACAAAAAAAAAAAAAAATTAAAATTCTAACAGTTTAGACCTATCATTCTTCTGGGCTGAGCTTTTCATCACATCATTTTCACCTAAGTTTTTGTGTGACAGCCACAACCACAGAGGACAAAAACAAAGAAATTATTTGAAGGCTGTAAACAAGTAAAAAACAATGAAACTGAACTGGGGAGGGCGAGAGACTCATAACAGCTTACACTCATCCAATTTTTTAAAATTAAAAATGGAACCTAAAATGTATTCGTTAATACAATCAGCACTACACTTAAACTTCATATGTATTTTTGAAAAAGAAAGAAAGGGAAGAGTCAGGTGGTTTGGCATAGACTAAGAGAAACTCTACAGAAATTCGCTGCATCACCCCAGGGGTGGCTATTTTATACATAAAATGTCACTGTTGCCCCCTCTCCCCCAAACCAGCTCCTGGAGGGTAGGACCCAAGTTCATTCTAGATTCCTTTGACTCCAAACTAAGAGCTGGGCCACTTAAAGAGGCGAAACACAAAGACTGCTCTAAACAACTCCACCTTGCCCTTTGTGATGCTAATTAACTATGGGGCTCATCTTTTCAGCATCCTAAATGGCCTCCCAGCCCATCAGAAGCCTGAAGAAAACCATGATGAGACACAGAAGACCATAACAGAGGTTCCCACCCCAGCTTTATAATTAATTTGATAGACAGGTAAACTCCAATAACAGAACCTACAGTAAAGTCAAAGTAACTTTCAATCCCTAACTTTAAATCCCTAATCTGATTTAAAAAAAAAAAAGTGCTTTCTCTCCTGAATCCCACACTCAGGCTACCCCTCAAGGATAATATAGTAAACATGACTCACACTGATTATTGCATTTACACAGCTTTCCAGATGCAAAGGTCCTGATGAGTTTTCCTGAAAGCACACCAGGGAGGTAGGTGTTGCCAGAGCTAGGTCCGCCACTTCAGGACCTGCTGCTCTAATACCACCTCAGCCGAGCTGTGTCCTCCTGCAGCTTCTTGATCAAGACTTCTCTGCCCTGAAAACTGGCAAAAGACAGTGTGTCAAAAGGTAGCTGCTATCATCGTTCATGATAAGAAGGGTCTACCAAACCAGGACTACATTGGCCTCTGCCATGAGGAAAAAGCATAGTGGAGAGGTTATAAGCAAACAGATCTGGAGTCGAGTCAGATGTCTAAGTCAACTCTTTGCACGACCTTTACGTAGATCGCAACCTCTCTGAACCCAGAAAAGTAGATAGAGCTTGCGAATCAAATGAGATGATGCATCAACGTTCCTCCCCCCACCCCTCGGTAATGCCTGATAATTGGGAATTCCAGGCCCAAAGAATCTGAAAGCAGGAAAAGGCCTTACAAGTGCAACACAGTTTTTTTTTTTCCAATAGAGAAACTGAGTCTCAAGGAAGACTGGTGCCCTCCTACCCTACCCTCGCCACCCCATCCCCCACACTTCCTTAGGGACACTCGCAGAGCATCTTCCTACACAAGTCGGTGTGTTTCCAGTTCCTGCAGCGCCTTGCAGCTAAGAATGGGTTCTTAGTAAGCATTTTCCAGATTGAACCTAAATATGGAAATAATTACTAACACCTATAAAACTCTCTACAGAGCAACTTCGCTCTCATTTGAAGGGGACAACTTTGTTCTTTCTTATCCTTTACGTCTGGGCCAGTTTCAGCTTTAAAGTTACAAGGGAAGTGACCTTCACCTCGAAATTTATCTACAAAGAAGGAAGAGAGTCGTCCACGCATTCCTCTCCCCCTTCCCAAGCTCAAACACAGTACAAAACGGAAGCTCGGGAAATTCAGCTCGCAAAAAGACCCTGCGGACAGGATTCGAACCCCTCAGTACCCAAGAGAAGTTCCCACTATGACTCACCGCAAGCCCACCTAGCACCGCACACTGAGCAGCCGTAGCCAGCGGAGTGGCGCTAAACCCGCTGATACAAACTCCACCCTCAGCCAATCAAAACACCCCTCCGCCCCCGCCGGACCAATGACAAACAGCGGATGTGGCGGCCCACATAGCCTCAATGCTTTCTGGGAGTTGTAGTTTAAAACGCAGAGCGGGACTCAAAATCCAGGTTTCCCCCGGGTAGTCCCGCCCCCTCAGCTTCCCGGCCAATCAGCAGCACCAGTCTGGTCGACCACTTTCTCTCCCCAACAGGTGACCGCGGGGAGGCCGGCCGTCAGCCAGATGTGGTGCGGAAGAACCAGGGCCTTGCTCCGGGTGTCGGGGTTATGGCCGACAGGGGTGCTCGGGAGGAGACCGCTAAACTGCAGTGCTGCGTCACTGGCGGGAAGCAACTCCCCCCGGTGTTGGAACTGCGGCGGCCTAGGGGGCCCCTTGCGTGGGGACCGGTTCTTCTGCCCTCAGTGCCGCGCGCTGCAGCCACCTGACCCCACGCGAGACTACTTCAGCCTCCTGGACTGGTAAGGGAGGCGGTTTCGGGAAATGCGTCTGGGCGTGCGAGATGGAGGGCTGGTCAGGCTAAGGGAGGAGAAGGCGGGACCAGTTACATGGGTGGGCGGAGCCCTAGAGAACAGGGGCCGGGGGTGGGGCCTGGGAGAAGGTGGGTGGGATGTGTTGGGAGAGGAAACCGAGGGGCCGGACTGAGCGGCGAAGCTTTGTGGGATGATGACGAGAGTGGAGCGTGCACTGGTGGGGCGAGGAGTGTGATTAGGGGAAATTGAGGTTTGGAGCCTGCAATGGAGGGAGACTTGAGGGGCGGGATCTGAGAGAAGGAAGTTCAGAGGTGGGGCCTGAGGGAAGGGTGCTTGCGCGGCCCTTGGCGGATGGAGTCTTGAGGAATAGGTTGAGAAGGTTTAAAGTTGGGTTGAGACTTTTAAGAAAGAAATTATGAGGTGTTATCCAAAATGAGAGAGTAAGAGCAAAGAAAAACTTAATGCTATGGGCAGAGTCTAAGGGAAAAGTGAGAATTGGAAGGTCTGAGAAATAGATGTTTTTTCTGTTTACCTCCGAAGGTTGAGGAGCTTGGAGAGGTGGTGAAGTTTGGGCGAAGCTAAACTAATGAGATAGGGCACGCTCTGGGAATAGAAAGCGAAGAGGATTCGATTAAAATAAAGTGAGAGGTAGAGATGAAGGGACCTGGGCCTTAGAAAAATAGAATGGGATTCAGGAATGCCTCTTCCCCTTAACTCTGGGCTCTGGCCCCACCAGTCACTGAGCACTTATGAAGGGCTGCAGTAACACTGCTCTTTACGTTGTTCAAGCATACCAATCTTGTTCCCACTTCAAGGCCTTTGCATGTTCCCTGTGCCTGAATGACTCTTTCCTGTGATCTTCAATTACTCCTCATCGTCATTCAGGTCTCAGCTCAAATGTCATCTCTTTGTCCACCACATCTACCATTCTCTTATCCTATTCTGTTTTCCTTTGCAGTACCTACCACTTTTTGAAATAGCTCTGTCTATATGTTTATTGCGTCATCCCGTATGAGAACAGGAACCAGGCCCATACTATACAAATCTATAAACATTTGATGCATGAATTTCATCTCCTGATTTCCTTCCAGCAACCGCTCCTTCAGAGTTGACACTGCAAAGCTCCAGCATAGGTACCAGCAACTACAGCGTCTTATCCACCCAGATTTCTTCAGCCAGAGGTCTCAGGTAGCCTATTGGCCACCCATAATCACACCCAAACACATGTGTACCCTGGGTGGGTGGCAGTGTCCTTATGGTTATCAAGGACAGAGCTGGACAGCCAGCTTCACCCTGAGGTAGCCTGACCCCAGCCATCCAGATGCTGGACCTGTCTTACACTCAGAGCTTTTACCTGATTTCCCAGCAGAATTAGAACCCATCACCTGAAAATAAAAACAGCTTATCCCATACCGGTTCTCCTTTGGTCACTTCCTTATGTGCTTGCCCATCAGTATTTTATGAAACAGTTTGTGAATGTAAGATGGCCTATTTGCATGGTAATATGACTATCTTCATTTCCACTTACAGACTGAAAAGGATTTCTCAGAGAAGCATTCGACCCTTGTTAATGATGCCTATCAGACTCTTCTGGCCCCCCTGAGCAGGGGACTATACCTTGTAAGGTGATTTTCCCACCCTTCTATCATGACAGCCTGGTCCCATTTCTCTGTAGGACAGCTGCTCTCCTGTGTTCAACAGAAGAGTGCTTGAGACCTGAGCTAATCTAGAGACCCAGCGATAATTAACCTCAAAGATACTATTACATGAGTATAGTTTTCTCTGAGTATCTCTGTAAATCTTACTTGCCCAATTGCCTTTTTTTTTTTTTTTTTACCATTTTCTATAAATTTCAAGGATTAGATAGTGCTGGCTTTTAGGGAAGAGTAATTTTTGCTTTTTTGTGGGGGAGAAGTGAGCACCTTAGAATTTTAGGATTTAATAGAATTTTTACAAATATCTAATTCAACCTCCTTCCACTTTTTTCCCAAGTGGAAGAATGACTCCCCCAAGGTCACATAGTTCCAGGTAGCAGGGAGTGATCCCATCCCAGCACTCCTATCTCAGTCTAACTTTCCAGTACCCTACCCTCACACTTTCACTATTGAGACAGTTCAAGTTTTCCCTGTGAGTGGCATTCTGTTCTGAATGGTGAGGAGGATTTATGGTGAGGAGGATTTATGACTCTGGCCATAGTTTCTTGAATTAAACTTATTTTCCCTGCTTTATGCCCCAATAGCTAAAGCTCTGTGGAGTAGAGATTCCCGAAGGGACAGATTATGAAATGGACAGTCAATTCCTCATGGAAATAATGGAAATCAATGAAAAACTTGCAGAAGCTCAAGGTGAAACTGCCATGAAAGAGATGGAATCTATTGTCAGAGGTAAAAGATAAAATACCACCGACTGCATTTTATTGCTATTTTGAGTACATATAGGGGTTAAGTGAAAAATGGATATAAAGACTACATATTGGCCTTCATAATGATTCAGGGAATTTTTTTTTTCTTGATTACGCTGAAACCCATTTTGTCTAGAGGTTAGGCTTGCAAAATTCCTAATTCTCTGGAAGGCGGGCTTAAACCAAGAATGTAATAGTATTTTGCAGATTGCTGTGCTCCTTCCCACCCATGACATCCTTTGGATATCTCTGACAAGAAAAATAGGCCTCAGAAGTTCATGGAAATGCCCAAGGTCACACAGCAGATATAGCAGAGCAAAGATTGAAACCTTGATCTTATGATCCCATATTGCTTTACTTTCCACTTTATTCCGTAGTGTATCAGTCAGGGTTCTCCAGAGAAACAGAATCAGTAGTGCATGTGTATGTGGAGAGAGAAAAATTTATTTTAAGGAATGGCTCATGTGATTATGAGAGCTAGCAAGTTCAAAATATGTAGATAGGCTAGCAGGCTGGAAACTCAGGCAGGACTTCTATGTTAGTCATGAGGCAGAATTCCTTCCTTGGGAAACCTCAGTTTTTGCTTACTACCTTCAACTGATTGGATGAGGCCCACCTATGTTATGGTAGATAATCTCCTTAAAGTCAACTGACTGTAAATGTTAATCACATCTACAGAATACCTTCACAGCAACATCTAGACTAGTGTTTGATCAAACAATTGGGCACCACAGCCTAAACAAGCTGGCACATAAAATTAACCATGCCATATAGAAAAGGCTCCAGGTTTCTCATTCAAATTATATGCAGATATGAACTTTCACAAATGTTATGGCATGCCTACTGTATCAGGCACTGTGCAGGACACTGAGGATACAGCAGTCAACAAGAAAGACATGGCCTGGGCCTTCTTGGAGTTTATATATTCCAACTCAGTGTGTCCCAAATGGAAGTCATGAGCGTCTCTCTTCTGCTCCTCTGCTGATGTCCGCTTTCTAAGTGAATGACGCTCTGCGGTTGTACAAGTCCAAAACACCGAGGAGGTGTCCTTCACAACTTATTCTCCCTTACCCCCATAGACAGTCCATCACCGAGTCTTGAAAACCTGACCTTCTAAATGTGTCTCAGATCCATCTATACATTTTCACTGCCACCACCCTGTCCCAAGCTACCATTCTCTCTCACCCGGACAACTGGAGTAACTCCACACTGGTCCGTCTCTACCTTCAATCTGATATATTCCTACCCTGTCACTTGTGTGATCTTTTTGAAACCCAAATCTAATCATATCACCCTTGGCCTTGCTTAAAAACTTTAAGGGGCTCCCCGCCCCCTGCCTCAGGTTAAAGAAACCTGCATGGCTTGGCCTCTGCTTCCTCCCATTTGCTCCTTCCACTCCAGCCACACAGATTGCTTCTAGTTCTTCATCTGTACCTTGTACCTCCCTACCCAGGGCATTTGCACATGCTGTTGCTTCTGCCCGAAACCCTCTTCTCCTCTACCCCATCTATTTAACTCTTCCTCCTTCAGATCTGGGGGCAATCCTCACTTCCTCAGAGAATCTGCAGACGACCTCTCTGTCTATACCTTTTGGTCGTGGGTACCCCTCCTTTGTAGGACTAATCACTGGTCTATGTGAGATTACTGGACCAATATCAGCCTCCTCTACTAGACCAGAAGTTCTACAGAGGCAGAAATTGTGTCTTCTTTTTGCTTCTCTCACATCCTTAGCACATGCAGTAGTACTTGGAGTATAATAGGGACTCAGTAAATATTTGTCAAGTGAGTGAATAAATAACAAACAAAGAAGTTAAAAGCAGTAAAATAGAAGTTGTGGTGGGGGAGCTGTCAACTAGGGTTGTACCAGCAACATTAGGGCTGGGTGGTGTTGGGGAATGAGAAACTCGGGATTTTTAGTCAGAAGGCCCAGCTGCACGGCTTTGGAAGGCAGAGGTTCATGAAGCTCTGGGTGAGGTGGACTTGGGTTCAGTCCCAACACTGCCACTGACCTTTTGTGTGACCTTCAGTAAAGTGACTTCACCCCTCTGAGCTTCAGTTTCCCCATCTGTAAAATGGAGATAATATTAGTACTGGTTGTTGCAACGATTGATTTAAAGCATGTAGA